CCATAATATTTTAAAAGTTAAATTAAACGTTTTTTTAAATTTTTTAAATATCAGAAACATAATTCTAAATCGGGGGGAAGATATTCCTCTGCACACAGCAGACTTCCTGTCACTCATCCCACATATGGGGATTGCAGGAAGCCGATCATCACCCTGAAACTGCAAAGGAAATATGCGCAGTGTCAGATATGTGAGGATCTGTGTAAGGAGAGAATAAAAATTAAAAAAAATAAAAAGATAAAAAGGAATATTCCATTAAAAAGTAAATTAACAAAACCCCTCCCACACCTCACCCCCCCTTCCAAAACAAAAAACAAAACATGCATTGTATATGAAAGTTTTGGCTGGAGTTGCACCTTAATAGGCAACAATATTGAGAAACACATTTCACAAATCTTCAGTGTGTATAACTGAACGGAAAAGAACTTTCTATATCTGCCGGAGCTCTGCACAGTCACTCCAGCATGCCGTGTACTGGGAAGCTCCGGGTTCTGCATTGCTCAGCCGTTATTTTAATGTTCTCCTCGGAATGTGAGGCTGTCTTCTGTCTGAGCGGCCCGGAGAAATTTACTACGACCCCCTCCGCCTTCCTTTATGTAACCGCGGCCCACTTAAGGTGTCTACACATACCCGCAGGACTGGATCATGTCAGGACCCTCCCCCAGTACCCGGACCACACCCCCAAAAATCCTCAACTTTGAATATTCAGTCTTAATCAGTTCGTTAGGAACTAGTGACATCACCAACATGCAGCTGAATGCCGGGAATTGCACCAAAACTACCCTTGTAGTGGCCCCATCCTATAAAACTACAAATGTCATCATGCTTTTGCCTGTGACAGTCATTCCTGTGGCTGTCAGAGTCTTGCAATGCCTTATGGGACTTGAAGTTCTACAACAACTGGAATGCCAAGGATGCATAGACCTCTTGGTCTAGAGGTAGAGCAGGGGTAGTCAAACTCCGACCCTCCCGCTGTGGTGACACAACTAATCCCATGCATGCTGCTGTCTCTGGGAGTCATACTTGTGGCTGTCACAGTCTCGCAATGCCTCATGGGATTTGTAGTTGCACCACAGCTGGAGGGAACAGAGTTTGTTTACCCCCATGTGCACCTTATCCCTAGCTCCAGTAGGCTTCAGGCACTCGCCTCTTCTCTCGGACACTCCGGGTTGTGGGCGGCTCTTCGCCATCCTCATGTACAGTGCAAGGCTACTGACTCTGCATTGCATGTGATGATGTCTAAGACGTCACGCATGATGTGGGAGACTTCGGAGGATCGGTCGCACGGAGTGAGGAGTAAGGTATTACATCGTCTTTTTTACCCCAAACTTGAGAGCATTTGGTTTTCGCGTAATTCCCGGAAGGGCAGCCAATCATGGAGCGGGGCCATTAGCTGTACAACCAATCCGAGCTCCTGATGTCATGTGATAACTTTATCTTGTAGTGGAAACATTGTAACAGATTTTCCCAGCAGTCCGATACTTTTCTCGAACAGGTAAATCCCGTCCCCATAAGCACCTGCTGTGGCGAGTGTTGCACATTCGCAGGCTCCGTCATCCCTGATCAGAGTTCTGGATCTAAATGCCCCCGCCATGGCCGCCTGAGTGACGCGCGCTAATGTGACAATCACGGCACGCAGATCAGGGAACCGTACAGGCTGATTAATCTGCCAGATCTCCGGATACATCACTGCCAGCGTTGTGAGCTTCCTCTGGGAGGCCGGTTATCTGGTAATGTTATCGGGCCCCGAGGTCACATGAATAATATATTCCGGCTAAGTCACGGTAAGTAGGGAGTAAGGGGATCTGTTCACATTCACAGTGACTGATCTTCACTTGTTATCTACACCATGACGGCTGCAATCAGGGCGCCGGCACGCTCATAACCCGCAAGGGAAAAAGGCTGCTGCCAGCTTCACCACTGAATGAAACACTCGGATAACAAAACGTTCAACACGGAATCCCATTATGTATCAGAACGGCCGTTACATTTATATATGGCTGATGTACATCGTTGTGTTGCTGCCCCGTCACTAGTCAGCGCGAGTCCCGGATCAGCAGAAAGACCCGTCCTTCCAAACAGCTCATAGAGGTCCTCAGCTTTCCCTGCTCTACCAAAGGGGTGTTTTTATTGCGGTCTTTGTCCACATTGGAGATACCTTCCATCACATTGCAGGAAGACTGAACAGGTAAATACATGGGGGGGGGGGAATACAGATTTTTGGGCTGTTCTGTAATCCAGTGCAGTCAGTCTTGTGATCCCAAGGCCGTAGCTAGGGCGAGGCGACTGAGACATTCGCCTCGGGTACAGGAGGTAGGCACAGCAAAGGCTCAGCACGGCAGGGAGAAGTGAACAGTCAGCGGGGATCCCCAGTTATGAATGAACAGGAAGTGCTTTAGATCACTTCCTGTTCATTCATGAGTTTCTGAATGGGTAGTAGCACTCACTACAGCACTCATCCTGGAGGTGGAGCGCATGATGTCACATGACATGACACACCTGTTGGGGGGGGGGCAATTTTTTTTGTTCTGGCCTCAGACGCAAAAGGAGTTAGCTACGGCCAATAACACACCTCCACCTCTGGGTGTTCCAGCTTCTCTGTGTTCTGGTAAGTGACGTGGCAGCAGAATAATCTGTCCCCAGTCTGAATCTTCTTCCACCATGACGGGTCCCACCCAGATCCTGGGAGAGGAGAAGGGCTGACCACCGAGCTAGCAAAGGCTGACAACTCATCCCGGCACCTCAAGGTGGGCTGAGGTCCTCGTGGAGGTTGCCAACATTCGGTCGGAGTCGGTAATAAAGAATGGAACATAAGAATGCTGCTCTCACCTCTCGGCCCGTCCCTGAATTATCCCCCGAAGGGGTTACATGCGGCGCTGGAAGCGGCAGAGCGCCGATGGCGGAGGCGCTATGAGTAGCTCGCAGTTTAGACTGCGGAAGGTGCCAACATGAAAGCTGTAATCACAAGTGAGTAACAAGCGGGAATTAACCACCCACTTCAAAGCAATTTTTAGCTGCCCTTCAAGGGATGTGCCACACGTCAACAGGTCCTGCCAGCTTTGGACACCCTGCCCTAAAATTCAACACCCACCATGTCTTCTTACTTAATGCCATCCCTTGACCACTGAAGTGATAACATTCCTCACAATACCATACCACCTAAGCTAGCATTCATTTCATATACCTCCTGAGGTTGCAGTGGGGTGCATTGTGCAGAACTGTTTTTCCATCAGCTTAGGGCGAGCTCTCATTTTGTTCTACACCTGAGCACAGATCACCCATGGGGACCAGAAACCCCTCCCCTAAAATAAAATAAAAAAGTGGGTGGGACCATTAGGATGTGGGAGGGGAGAAGTAGGAATATAGGAAGGAAAATTAAATATAATTGATAAAGTAAAAAATACAACACAAGCAGCCACATTATACTGGGATTTGTGTGAGCCTTCCGCGGTAATATTCAGCCTACTGGATCACTGATATCCAGGGAGGGGACTGTAGAGGGAGGCATGTTCTCTCATACCTCAGTCATCTCCCTATTTAAAGGGTAAGTACACTTTAAAACAAAGTACACTCATCCCTTTTGCCCATTTAAACCCTGACCCAACCCACCCATCCCTGCACACTTCCCTTGATCTGTCGGCCGTGGCCTCCGTGGTTTGTTTTTTTATTCTGGCAGCGCCAGCCCTTTACAGCCCCATAGACTTCCATTGGACTGTCTCCCGCCTTCTTCTCTGCCCTCGGGACACAACCCCATAGCAGTACAAGAAGAGGTAATGCGAAGGCGCAGCCAGGACAGCGAGAATTGCAGAGCTGAATGTACACATGCACCAGAGGCCAGGGCTGCCGGATCAAGGCAAGAACGCATCTGTGGAAAGGGGGGGTCAGGTCAGAGTAAGAACGCATCTGTGGAAAGGGGGGGGGGGTCAGGTCAAGGTAAAAGGGGGCAAAAGAGTAAAGCACACTTTGTTTTATAGTGTGCCTATTCTTTCATGAAGAGGTGATTGGCTGAAAAAGAAGCATTCTCATTGGACGGGGAATGTCCGTTTGGCTTGGAACTCAAATCAAGGATTTCAGCAACGATATGAAACTAGTTACAGAGAGGCACATAAAGGAGGGTTTTCTGGAACCCGGACAGGAATCTTGCAATGTCTGTTCTTATCCAATGCTCCCAAACACACAACATTTAGTACAGTATCACCATAAGATACCCAAGGGAAAGTCGTGACTTTATCATTTCATGAACGATGCCACCTAATTGGCTGCAATGTGCTGCAAGTGCAGATTGTCAGCAGACTTGGTAATGATTTCTAATGATTGGTGTGACCCCCGTCCCTGAGACTGGCAGCGATGCGATCCCTGTGTAATTCCATCACTCGATCAGGAGGGAGGCAGGTCGGAAGGTCGCTGCAAGCTAAAGAGTCGGAGGGTGAAATTTCACCTACCCTGGGCCCTTTCCTCTCATTGTTTCCAAACAGGTCTGTGTCACCGGAACAGGGTCAGCCCGACAGATAAAGCCGTACGGTGATATTCTATCTATGGAAACTGGAGGAGACGAGGCCGGACACGGCAAGAGGGATCCAGCTTCTCCCACTGCGTCCGGGGGGTCAGCACGTGACGCCATCGCAGCCGCTGAATGACATAATTAGCCGTGGTTCCTATTTCACATTCTGCGTTAGGAGCCCGTGAGACCTGGACGCACCCAGAAGACAGCGCACGCATCACTGGGGCATGCTGGGAGGGCTTTATCACCAGAAGCCTCGATGCCCAGGCCAAATTGCGCAGCGCAGTGTCTGTATCCTTCGGTTAATTAGGCAATAACTCTGATTATTGTGCCTACCTAAAGCTTTTATTTGGCACACTGACTTAATAAATACCATGCTCATGATTTTTATTTACAACAAAGACAAGGAAGTTGAAGTATTTTCACTTATTTTACCAGATTATAATCACACATTTACATTTTTTTTTATAGCCTCAGCCGTCACCATGCCTCTCCCTGTGCAAGTTGGAAGCTTTGTTTGTAAACAAACCAATGTGATCACTGTGACCGTCTGCAATGGGGATCACATGATCGAGAACCATGCTCCTCGTTTAGACCAGTGACTGTCTATAGTTTAATCAGCAAAAAGTTTCCCAGCACACTCACCAGCCAGCATGCAAAAAAACTTGTCTCACCGCTAAGGTTAAAAACAGAGGTTTGCATACACGTCTTCTGCAGAAAATGTGAACGCCGCGCAGCCGCGCCAAGGCACCTCTATATAGTGCGGTCCTAACTCTTAACTATGAGAGTCTCCATCTTGCTTGGAAACCTTTTGCTGTTGTACTGTATAAAGCCCTTCCATGTGCACCTTGCTGTAAAGCTGGTGATGAATTGATGAGTGCGTTTGCCATTTGTTTTGCTTGACTATAGTTCATGTCATAACATCATACTGAAATGTATACACAATGCGTCAGGCCCACTTACCTGCATGAAGCCAGATTTGTGCCAGAGTCATCCAGGGGTGGAGGGGGCCTTGCTTTGGGGCGCTGCTCTGCAGAGAGGAGGCCACCTCGGACAACGCCTGTTCAACACGGGATGCCGCAATAGATGTTGCGTGGATGGAACCTAAAGAGGAGACATCATGAGAAGTGGAAACCACAGGAATCCGCAAACGCCAACCAGAAGCGGTGCCGCCAGCCTGTGTGCGGTTAGATGCCATTTTTCCTGCGTGACAAGACACAACCATGTGAGCAAGACGTGCAGTAGCCAGATCAAGGCATGACCAGACATAGAACACAGCAGCTGGGCTCGGGGGCCCTCAAACGTGCCAGAAGAGGAAGCCTGGTGATGTTAGAGCTGTGACATTACCTGACCAAAACCAACAGAGAACTGTCCTCCATGATCAGCCTCCGGTGAATTCTTCTCCTAGGCAGAGGAGTTCCCCCGAAAGCTTTGTTCCTAAACACGGGTTCTAAAGTAAAACTCTGCTAACGTGAAAACCAACAACGTAAGGATGAGTGCTTAAAGACGGCCAACATGCCACTGTCTAGCTTATTACAGTCTCCAGCTCAGCCAGAGATGAATGGGGCCGCGGAGTGTGTGCACATTAGGCAAGATCCCACCTTGGATGGGGGGCAGGACCAGGATGTGACGGGGGTGATGCTTACTTAAAGAACAGTAAGGTTGAACGCTGGGTCCACCACCGAGTACTAGTATTTTCTGGCTGGCTAATGGCGACCTGGACAGAGGAAAAGCCACGAGGATCTGCCTGGCTAATGGCGACCTGGACAGAGGAATAGCCCCGAGGATCTGCCTGGCTAATGGCGACCTGGACAGAGGAATAGCCCCGAGGATCTGCTACAGCGAGGAAATTCTTATATAGAGAATACATTTCAGTGCAATTTGGTGCAGTCATGGCTTGGCAATCTACTGAATGGCAAAGGCGTTTACCGGACTGCACCAAACTAAGCCCAGGACGTGTAAGGTATCCAGCTCTACCGCGCATGTGCATGGTCCCGTTTTTCGTACCATAGGAAAACGGGCACTTGCGCACATGCGTGAGCATCGGGACGTACGCGCACAATCGCGCCAATCTGGCGCACAGAAAGTGATGCAGTACCTCTGAATTGATCTTCCTATTTAAAGCAAGCACCGACTGGGCTTAGTTGCTGGATGGTCTTTCTGCTGTTCCCTGTGATCCTGTTTACTGCTCCTGCACCTTGACCCGGATTGAACCTGCCTGCCTTCTGACCTTCGAATTGTTACTGGACCTTGCCTCTGCCTCATCCCTTGTACTTCGCTGCCCGACTGGTGTGACCCCTGGCATGCCTGACCTCTATTCTGCCTTTTGCTCTGGTACCCTGCTTGCCCGCCTGGCGTGACCTCGGCTCTGCTCTACCCGATCCCAGACTTCTGCCTGGCACGGTGTTGCCCCATCCACTGGCACCCGTGCTACTTGCTGTTTCTCAGGCTCTGTTCCCATCCTCAGAGTTTGGGGGACACAAGGTGCAAGGGGAGCCTCCTCCTCCAACCAGTCTCCAGCCAGGTACGTGATATGCGGTCCGAAACTACAGTGACCACAGATCTCCTTGGCAGTGCAGTTTGGGATTTCTCAGGCCAAGGTCTCTGATTTGGGTTTCCTTAAAGAACAAATGTTTAAACTTTAGAATCCACCAAAGACAGAAATCTCAATTTTAAGTAGACCGACCCTTTATTATCCCCCGATAGCATGAATGATACTCTGTCGTCACTAGTTTGTGGAAACCTTCTGTAAGTTTTGCATTGGGGGCACCAAGAGTCAGCGGGGGGGAGCACAGCCACCTCCTTTCTCTGGTACAGAATTAGCTCCGTGTGATGAATGTGGCTGCTTTCAGGTAAATGTCAGCCGGGGGAAGATGAATAATGATCCCCCCGTAAAGAGCAAATTAGGAAATGTTTAGAAGGGGCCATAATGGACATCTTGATAAATTAGAGTGTATGCCAGCTGCGGAAAACCCAACAGGTCTAGCTAATAAGAAACCACAAGTCCCAGCAAGACTTGGCTTGGCTGCATTGGCCATCAGACTGTAAAGTATGGAAAGTTATGTTCTGTGTCTTCTTTCCTCCGGTTAGTATTGAGATACATTCTTTATACATTGTTCCTGTAATTACTTCAACACATGCTGATGGTTTCCACTGCCAGCGCTGACTGGCGGAACGGACTGGGGAGGGGGCGGGTACAGCTGGCTCTGCCTCTAGATAGGCAGAGCCAGCTGTCAGTCACGCAGCTGGGTGGATCCCGGCACAATTGTCGGGATCCGCTTCAGCTGCGGCGTCTCAGTATAACGCGAGCTACAGCTCCCTATATACTGAGCCTAGGGTGACGGGAGGACGCTAGTATGTGTCCTCCCGTTACCCTAAGGAGAACTATGGGGAAAAGCCCTAACCCCATAGTTCTCCTTTAATGGGACAACTAAGTGAGCAGATCTGGTAAGTGATGGCGGCAGCTCCGGTTGGGTAGTTGTATCTTGTTGGTTCTGAGGTGAGGACCCGTCCTTGGACACGCTATGAGCTCCAGAGCCATCGGTATAGAAGCAGCTCTGAGCGGCGTTCGCAGCTCATTGTGATCTCGGGATCTGGCCGCAGACCGTAATCGCAGGATTTCCAATAATCTCCCCCACTTATCCAGAACAGTAATTACATCCGGAATGAAAATGCAGCAACCTTCAGAAATGAAAGGACCCGCAAGACTGAAATGTGAACCGTTATCTCTGAAGGACGTATTGATAATATGTAGAAATACGTTACAGAGAACAAAGACCTGATGGACAGACACATCTCCAACCTATACTGTTATGAAGCTGAAATGCTCAACTTTTTTTTTTTAATTGCTGCTCGGGGGTCATGCAGGGACTTGTGGTTCACAGCAGCCAGGGATGATATAATGTAAATCAATTTATACAGAACCACTGCCTGTTGGAAGCCCATGCACACATATAGGACAGCAGAGCATGCTGACACTTGTAGTTCCACCCGAGGTGCGCAGCAGACTGGCTGCCTAGGTAGCTCCATAGTAGGAAAAACATCTCTTTATCTCCTCTATACCAGCACTGCTCAGTCAGTAATTCCAGCTGTATCTGCACATGACATGGTCTTCGTCTGAATGAGAAGTAGCATCCTGCATCACAAAACAAACTGACATCCAGAGGCACTCCGGCCATTAAAAAAAGCTAAACTCCCAGCATGCCACAGGAGGTCCGGAGCAAGCCGAGCATTACCATATGCCTAAAACTACTGCAGAGGTCACATTGGCAAATCTGATCCCAAACCTGCTGAGGGATTTATCACACAACAACAGGACATTGTACTCATGGAGGGAGAGGCACGGCACACGGCAGGGGGAAGAGCAGCAAACACATGCTGGGGTCTGCAAGCAAAAACACACCAGACCTCCCATGCACACCAATGCATCTACAGCTGGTCACACGGGCGCTTCACAGGTCAGCGCTACACTGCTGCATGCGAGCTAAACGCTGTCCGCCATGTTCCAGAGATGGGAGGGCAATGACTCCCATTCAAATCTGAACAAAGCTAGCAACCGGGCAGCGGGGAGGCACAGCAGCCTGTTCAATGGGCAACCCCTGTGTGTACAAACCGCCGCTGTGCACTCACCCGCTGTGTACTCTGCTGACTGCACAGATATCGGGGACCTTTCACAGAACACACTGCGAGGGGCACAGCAGGATTATTGATCAATAAAGAGACAGTACACATTTCTGTACAGAGTACAAACCCTTCCAAAGTGTTACAGAACTCAAAAGGTGAAGATTCAGTACCCTTAAAAATTTCCCTTTAGTTTCAATTAGCTTCTGAAAAATATCAGTGCCCTCCTTGGTATGTGGCTGTGCCTATCGATTACTGGTCTGACCTCATAGCTGTGTATCTGCAGTGTGAGATCTAAGGCACTGCTGCCTCTCACTACTAGTCTCAGGAGATTTAGCGATACTAGTGATGCTCACTGTTCTTCTAGATGGAGGCTCTGACACGAGGAAGCAAAGCCCTGCCTCTACCAAGATGGCCGCCTGCATGGTAGACACGGTGCAGAACATGGCATGGTAAGTCATCAATGGGGAAATATTAGATGCAGGGAGGGAGCCCCCTTGCTTGTCTTTTTTTGAGCATTGGGGAGACGTTTCTTCAATTCTTGTCTCAAAACACAACAGGAAGTGATAATAGATCTCTCCAAAGGGAAATCCTCATTTAGTTGTCACCAGAAAACGTGTCCCTACAGGAAGGTTGTTTCCTGTAGGGACACGTAAACTTCTTGTGACAAGGACTTCAATCTTCTGTTCCCGTGGTAATGGTCACGAGGACAAAGAAGCAGAATGGGTTTCTACAGAGGGATATACATAAAAACCTGACAGGGGTTCTAACATTTCCCTACTCTATTTAAATAGGAAAAATAAAATGGGAGGTGAAAAACCTCCATGTCGGGGGGTGCGTGAAGCTTCATTTTGTAGCCCAAGGCTACCAATTCACCAACCCACCGCAGCATTGGTTAGTCAACAGTCCATGAACATTAGATATCATCCAGCCACCTTGAGCTGAACAGAAGGGGCAGAACTACATGACGACTCGGACGGGGGAGGGGGCGGGTACAGCTGGCTCTGCCTCTAGATAGGCAGAGCCAGCTGTCACTCACGCAGCTGGGCGGATCTCGACAACGATGTCAGGATTTGCTCCGGCGTCTCAGTATACCGCGAGCTGTAGCTCCCTATATACTGAGCTTAGGGTGACGGGATGACGCTAGTTTGTGTCCTCCCGTTACCCTAAGGAGAACTATAGGGAAAAACACTGACCCCATAGTTCTCCTTTAAAAAAGTTAGGCTCAGACTGGCAATGGGAGTCGTTGGCCTTCCTGAGCTGAGGCAAGGTGGTGCTCTTTCCTCCAGTGAAGTGCATGATGACTCCATTCAGCGTTGCACCAAAAAGTCGATCCCCTGTGAATGGCAGATGAGTAAGAGCCTTAAAACGATCAATAGATCCAGAGATACAGGCAGCTGAAGTCATGTACAACCTTTGCCCCCTCCTACCCTCTTCCTACTGGCCAGTGAGGCTATCAACCACTTTAAAGGGCCAATAGGGAGAGGTGGAAGGTGGGGGCCAAGCTGGACCGGCACAGAAAAAGTTGAGACTTGCATATAACTTCAGCTGCTCTACCAATTGATCAGACACGCGGATTTCAATGCAGGGAACTTCTATTATGTTTTTCGGAATGCCAAGTTTGAATTGCCGAGGCTTCTGACATGTTTTATTTTAAAGGCCAACCCCATCCGTCAGCTTTTCACATCTCTTGGTGACCCCATCGTAATTCCCATTCTAATTGCGGCAACCATTACAAAACCAAATGATGGCGACACGCTCCGCTGATGGCTGCCAAATTGAGGAAGTATTTGGGAGTCCTACTGTAAGACTGACACCTCTGCTACGGCCCGTTGTTTGTGCAAGACACAAAACTAATGTGAGGAAATCCCCATACAAGAGTCTGCGTGAGACTGATGAAGCTGGCTGGTGATGCATCCTAGTGGTGACCACCCATTACTGTACTATATGCTTTGGGTGGAACTACCCTGTTTCCCCCGAAAAAAAGACCTACCCCGAAAATAAGACCTAGTACTATTTTTGGGAATTGCTAAACTATAAGACCTACCCCGAAAATAAGACCTAGTTGTGACCTTTCCCAGGGCCGGTGGTGGCATAAGGGGGAATTTGAAGAGCCGCCGGAGAGGCGGGAGAGAATCAGCGGTGCCAAGGAAGGCAGCGCTAGAGGAAGCGAGGCGGGAGCGGAGGGAGCAGAGCCGCATAAGCCGATGCCTCCTCTATAGCGCCGCCTCCTGTCACAGGCGGAGTCATACCAAATGCACTCCGCCTGTGAGGAATCCATAGTGAAAGCGCACTTCGCTTATTCTGGCCAGCGATTGGTTATCAAATTGCTCTTGGAAAGGTGCGGTGATTTGTGGCTTCTTTATATCAGGTAGCCATTATTCGCAATGCATCATCATCCAGCATTGGTCACTCCATCACCCCCAGGTGCTCTTGCTTAGAAACATGCATGCACCTACTGGAAAAAAAACTGCATCTGAACAATGCGACAGGAAACACAACTCTGACACCAAGAGCCGTAATCTCCTAAAATGGTAGTGTTCAATGCTTTCAGAAAATGAATACTGTCTCTTTAATAATTAAAGGGCAAGTACAAGTAAAGTACGGCCTGCCAATTACCTTGTGCAGTCAGCACCGGCGACCTATCCCTTTAACTCCTGAGCTGCCAGGAAGAGTTTAGCTGCACAACCCCATCCCCCTACCCCGCAGGTAATAAAGGAGACATCGGTGATCTCGTGACACGTCAGGTGACTGAGGCGTGAGGAATTCCGAAAGGTGAAGCCTCAGGTTGCAGCCGGGTTACTTACAAACAGAAAACATGGAGTCAAAACCATGAGAGAAGGGCATGTCTGGAGAGCGGCCTTCAAACGCTGGGTACAAAACAAAACACAAACGAAAACAAAAAATGCACAAGCGTCACTGCAAATAAAACACAAGCGCCACCCACAAACGTCACAAACCCTTTCTGAGAATCTGCAAACTCGGGGGCCAATCCCTAAAGATACAATATGTTGGTGGGAGACCCCTTTGTGGCAGCTGCCAACCCCAGATATCTAGTGATGTCACCACCCAGGAAATCGTATTGGGCTCCTGATTAAAGAATAACTATGAGGTCCTCATAGTTCCAGCCGACCTGTGACAATGAGACTGTCGCATGTCGGCTCAATAGATCGGGAGGTGAACACATACCGTCGTTAGCTCACTTCTCGATCATCTACCCGCAGAGAGCTGTGACTGTCACTCACGGCTCCCTGCAGGGATTCCCCCCTCCCATCTCTGATCCTCCAGCGCTGACTGCCGGAATGGACGGGGGAGGGGGCGGGCACAGCTGGCTCTGCCTCTAGATAGGCAGAGCCAGCTGTCAGTCACGCAGCTGGGCGGATCCCGACGTCCATGTCAGGATCCGCTACGGCGTCTCAGTATACCGCGAGCTGTAGCTCGCAATATACTGAGGTTTGGGTCACAGGAGGACGCTAGTATATGTCCTCCCGCGACCCCTAGGAGAACTATGGGGGAAAAACACTGACCCCATAGTTCTCCCTTAATCAAATGATCAGTTGATGTTGGTGACCGAATCATTATGAAGCCTGGCGGGTTCAGCTCAGGTTAGACTGGAGCATGCTCTATATAAAGCTACAGACTGATGAAATGACAGGGTCTCTTAGGACCAATGTGCCGTGGGGAAGAGCTGCGTCTGAGTAAATGGAAGCCGGCCCATTCCGCCTATTTGTTCTGCAATTTGCAGTAATTGTATTTGGAGGCCGAATCAATTCCGAAGACAATGAGCTGTATTTATCAAAATGTCCATTCAGCCCCGATGTCTGGACTAGCGGGGGTCAGGAAAATGTGTCTATATTGAAGGAAACTGTCACACTCCCTTTTCAGGCTCTTTAAAACAAAGTGGATGTCTCCTTTTTGCCCCCCTTGCCCTGACATGACCTACCCCCTTCTTCACAGACACATACTTACCCCCATCTGACGGACGCAGCCTCCGATGCTCTTGCCCGTTCATTACAGCTTCATAGAAGTCTATGGGTCTGTGTCCTAAGGCCGGAGATGAAAGGAGACGTTCGCATAGAAGTCTATGGGTCAGTGTCCTAAGGTTGGAGTTAAAGGGAGACGTCCGTATAGAAGTCTATGGGTCTGTGTCCTAAGGCCGGAGATGAAGGGAGATGTCCGTATAGAAGTCTATGGGTCAGTGTCCTAAGGCAGGAGATGAAGGGGGACGTTCGCATAGAAGTCTATGGGTCTGTGTCCTAAGGCCGGAGATGAAGGGAGATGTCCGTATAGAAGTCTATGGGTCAGTGTCCTAAGGCAGGAGATGAAGGGGGACGTTCGCATAGAAGTCTATGGGTCTGTGTCCTAAGGCCGGAGATGAAGGGAGATGTCCGTATAGAAGTCTATGGGTCTGTGTCCTAAGGCCGGGGATGAAGGGAGACGCGGGTCTGTGTCCTAAGGTCAGAGTTGAAGGGAGATGAGCCCATAGAAGTCTATAGAGTTGTAATGCACAGACATGGCCTGGAAAGTGAGACTCGCAGCACTGGATGTAAAAAAGCACAGCGGCTTTTGGATAGAGGTATGTATGGAGGAGGGGACGGGAAGTGTGGGTTAGGTCAAGGGAAGGGGGAATCATTTTATGGGGGGTGCTCCCAGATAAATGGACCATGTATTTTCATGGAAGGTTTACTTTAAAAGCCACTCTCAACCCACTTGCACTAACCTCCCCCACTCTCCCCTGCTGTTATCATAACCCTGTGCATCCTCCATGTTGGATTTGATGATCGCACCTCCTCCAAGCTCGATCACTGCTTCCTGGGAGGAGGTCTCATGCTCCCTCATACCGGGAAGCAATGGGTATTTTTGGTGGCAGCTCCAACAATGGACCAGCAGGCGACTGCAACAAAGGTGAGTATAAGTGGGTCAAGGGTGGCCTTTAAAGAGACCCTGTCACTCTGCCCTGAATGGCCTCTAACTTCCAGACTTAAAGTGAGGCAACAACCTAAACATTTTTCTAGCTTTGGATAGAGTAGGGAGGGATTAGAACCAGACTCCTAACTGGCTCTGGCCTACGTTAGACATTTTCTTGGCTCAGGAACGTGTTCAGGCTGTTTGCAGATTGTCAGAATACAGGCTCCACCATTCACAACATGACACCAATTTACACAAAGGAGGCTCGGGCCCTGCGGGGGGCTCGGCTGGGGCTCTTGTTATGGGGTCGGATTTAGGAGAGGAAGGGAGATGAGCGGTGACAAACAAGTGAAGAGGAGATTCTGGTCTTGAGAGGGAAGAGGATTCAGAGGCTAGAAAACAAAGCAAGAGAAAAGGATGAAAGCCAAAGAAACATGGAGGACAGGAGGACAATGAGACCAATGCCAGCCCCCCCACTCTCCCCCGTACGCAACAATGAGGTACTGTGCAAGTTAACAGATGAGCTGATGTCTGTGATACATATTCTCAGTGATGATCGCAGGTTTGCAAACACACTGAGAAGTCTCAATGCAATCTGCCCAGTGAATAGCCCACAGGAGAAGCACTGCACCAGCTGGGGTGTGAATTTGCAGCACCTGAGATGGCCGCTCCCTATCTGATGAATGTGTCCTACGAGCCTGCAGCATTTTCTATGGACTTCAGACGGCAGTGGTTGTGTTGTATAAAACCCTCTTGTCTGGAATGCTGGGTAATAGTGTGAGGGACTGATCGTTGGAAAATAATGTTTAGTTTTCATTCCCAAGGAAATCCGTGGAGCAGAATGCTGAGCCGTTGTAGTGGGGACAGCAGATGCTCTATCTCCTATTTATTGAGAAAGACTAACGTGACAGGTTATAGTAAGGTGGGCCAAGAGGAACCAAAAACCTTCCACTCAACCAGTGAAAAGCAGACAGAACAGAAGATATCTGCGTGGCCCATTCCATTACAAATGCAACAATTATGGGCGGTGTAATGTGAATCATTCCTTTATGCCCAATGGTAACCGTATACCCTGAACCCCACCATAACCTGTCTAGTTTTACTTTCTTGTAAGTCCTGCTTCCATAGAAGTCATGGATTCTGTGCAATGTGCTGATGAACGCCAACAGGCCTGAAACAGCTGTGCTCAGTGTGGAATAAATCACACTATAATATTAGGCTAAAAACCACTGTTCTCATGAACTATCTGCTTATGTCTCTGCATGGGAGTTAGATCATCTCTGCCTGACCTGACCCGACCCGATAGGGTCACATTGGGGACTCTTATGACTGCCTGATATGGACTTTCCAAGGTGACCAATATTGTTCCTGAGATAAGGCCACAACTGGGGAACTTGGTACACAAGTCAGGCTTATGGCTGCCCTCCAGATACAGTGACTATGTGTTTATGAACTGGTCACAGGAACCGACTTGTGCTACAAATGCTGGAAGGAGAATGTCTTTTAGATTGTTCTGCCATAAAGATACGTGGGAAAAAAAATGTGAATAATGAAGAATATGCACAAGAGGCCAGAGAGGCAGTTCCATACAGTCACAGGTCATATGTACTGTGCCTATAATTGTACTTTCAATGGGCACTCTATTCAGGGTATCAACAAGAATGGGGTTCTTGGACACGTCAGAGATTTAAAAACTAGGTGCCAAATCCTATAATGCATGAAATGCTGGGAAAACATTTGAACAGCCAGTAGACAGACAGAAAACACGGGGTTAACTGGACATGAGGGATTGGAGAACATGAATTGGAGACAACTGCAGGAGATTTGGGCAGTACTTCCTATGAACACACAAATATTTAGATTTAAAGGGCTCTTCCAATTTTGATAAGTGGAAAACCCAGCTGATTGCA